CTATAGAACATTGGAATAAATGGAGCTTACCTTAAAATGATAAGTAATATTTATCTAAAACCATCAGCAAACATTATCTGTAATGGGGATAAACTAGACTCCTTCCCAATACAATCAATGGTGAAACAAGGGTGCCCATTATCACCTCTATTATTTAATACTGTACTAGCAATGTTAACTATAGCAATAAGAAAAGAAAAAGAAATTAAAGGAATTAGAATAGGCAATGAGGAAACAAAACTATCAGTCCTTGTAGATGATATGATGTTATACTTAGAAAATCCTAGAGAATCAACCAAAAAACTACTTGAAATTATTAACAATTTTAGCAAAGTTGCAAGATACAAAATAAACCCACATAAATTATCAGCATTTCTATTATATTACCAACAAGGTCCAGCAGCAAGAGATAGAAAGAGAAATTCCATTTTAAATAACTATAGATAACATAAAATACTTGGGAGTCTACTTGCCCAAGACAAACCCAGGAACTACATGAATACAACTATAAAACACTTTTCACACAAATAAAGTCAGATATAAATAATTGGAAAAAATATTAATTGCTTATAGGTAGGCAGAGCCAATACAGTAAAAATAACAATTCTACCTAAATTAATCTATTTATTCAGTGCCATGCCAATCAAACTATGAAAAAATTATTTTACAGGGGCAGCTAGGTGATGCAGTAGATAGAGCTCTGACCTTGGAGTCATGAGGACCTAAGTTCAAATTCAGCCTCAGACACTTGACACTTCCTAGCTGTGTGACCCTGGGCAAGTCACTTAACCCCCTTTGCCTCACCAAAAAAAAAAAAAAAAAAAGATTATTTTATAAAGCTAGAAAAAAATGATAACAAAATTCATCTGGAAGAACATCAGCTCAAGAACATCAAGTAAATCAATGAAAAAAAATGCAAAAGAAGGTGGTCTAGCCATACCAGATCTCAAATTGTATTATAAATTAGTAATTATCAAAACAATCAGGCATTGAGTAAAAAATAGAATGGTGGATCAATGGAATAGATTAGGTACAATTACATTATAGTAAATGACCATAGTAAGCTAGTATATGAAAAACCCAAAGATCCAAACTTTTGGAATGAAAACTCATTATTTGACAAAAACTGCTCGGAAAACTAGAAAACAATATGGCAGAAACTAAGTATAGACCAATATCTCACAATCGTATATCAAGATAAGGTCAAAATGGATACATGATTTACACATAAAAGGTAATACCATAAGCAAATTAAGATATCATGGAATAGTTTGTCAGATATGGATATGGAATAAGGAATATGGAATGATATGGATATGGAATATCTGTCAGATATGGATAAGGGAAGAACTTCGGACCAAAGAAGATATGGAGAGCATTACAAAATGTGAAAGATAATTTTGATTATATAAAATTAAAAAGTTTTTGCAAAAACAAAACCGATGCAACCAAAATCACAAAGAAAGCAAAACTGGGAGAATTTTATTTTTTGCAACCACTGTGTCTGATAAAGGCCTCATTTCTCAAATATATGGAAAATTGAATCAAATTTATAAAAATACAAGTCATCCCCCAACTGATAAATGGCCAAAGGAAATAAACAGGTAGTTTTCAGACAAAGAAATCAAAGCTATCTATAGTCATATGAAAAAATGCTCTAAATCACTATTGATTAGAGAAATGCAAATTAAAACAACTCTGAGGTACCACCTCACACTTATCAGATTGACTAATATGACAAAAAAGGAAAATGTTGGATGTTGGAGGGGATGTGGGAAAACTGGGACACTAATCCACTGTTGATAGAGTTGTGAACTGATCCAACAATTTTGGAGAACAATTTGGAACTATGCCCAAAGAGCTATAAAACTGTGCATACCCTTTGATCCAGCAATGCCACTGCTAGGTCTATATCCCAAAAAGATAAAAAGGTGGGGAGAACCTATTTGTACAAAAATATTTATAGCAGCTCTTTTTGTGGTGGCTAAGAATTGGAAAATGAAGGGATGCTCATCAATTGGGGAATGGCTGAACAAGCTATGGCATATGATTGTGCTGTAATTTTATTGTGCTATAAGAAATGACAAGTGGGATGATTTCAGAAAAACCTGGAAAGACTTGCATGGACTGATGCATAGTGAACAAAACCAGAAGAACATTGTACACAGTAATAGCAATATTGTTCAGTGAAGAATTGTAAATGACTTAGCTATTCTCAGCAATACAATGATCCAAGACAATTCCAAAGGATTAATGACGAAGCATACTATCTGCCTTCAGAGAAAGAACTGATATATTGTTTGAATACGGACTAAAGCATGCTATTTTTCACTTTCTTTCATTTTTTCCCTTGTATTCGCATCTTGCTGTACAAAATGACTAACATGGAAATGTTTTACATGATTGCACATGTATAACCTATATTTTATCCCTTACCATCTCAGGGAGGGGGGGATGGAGGTAGGACGGGAAGGATAGAATTTGGAACTCAAAACTTTAAATAAAAATATTTTTTTAAAAAGATAGGGAGAGGTAGAGTTAGTCTAGAACAAACATAATAGATTCACTCAGGGCCTCCGAGGCTGAAGTGGTCAAGAGAATAATGAACCATTCCCAAGTATCAATATCCATTGAATTTTAAGCCAGCAAAAAATAGTAAAGCAAAAAGGTAAATAAAGACTAGACAGTGTTATATTTAAACGTTCATTCATCACTCCCTCCAAGAATGAAAGAAAGGAAGCCAGGGCAGGGACTGCACAGCCTCACCTTGCCCTAAATCTTTGTACACAGGCATATAATCTCCATCTACTATAAAGGAGCCACATACAACTCATTACATGTAGATGAGTAAACACAAAATACATACAGATATAACTCTACCTCCATCCAAACCTACAGTGTTTTCTGAGGGACAGCTCTGTGATCTGTAGTAAATATTGTATGCTCAGAGAGAAAAATTACTCCTGATTGGCTGCAAAACCACTGAACCTGGAAAAAAAAAAATCGCTATGCTTGTATAAGTGGGGAAGAAACTTTTTTAGATTCAGAGAGGCTGCTGGGAGAGCCAGAGAAGGAGTTCAAGAGGCAAGTGTAGATTTTTAAATGATTTACCAGAAATCTCCCTGGAGCTGGAGAGACATGAGAAGCCAAATTTTAACATGTCTCTTGACTTCTAGCACCTGTAGTCCTAGAGAATGCTAAGCGCCAAAAGAGTCATATCCTTAGACTACCAATATTTGAAGTATGGTAGATATAATTCTAGCCCAATATCCCTCTGTGTTCCCCTCCTACATTGGTGGAAATAGTCTTTTTCCATTGGCTGTGTGAATAAAACAGGATATATCTTTAAAATTCCCAACTGGGCTGGGGACTCTCTCTCTCTCCCTCCCCCCATTGCATCCAAGGTGGTGATGGTCCTGTTTACTCATAGCACAGGCATCATGAATTGAATTGGAGGTGGGGAAGGGAAAGGCTAGTAAGACCCTCTCTATCCAATGTCACATTGCCTTACTACATTTGCAACGATTCAATAGTTTTTCAGTCATTTCCAACTCTTTGTGACCATATTTGGGTTTTCTTAGCAAACATACTAGTTTGCCATTTTCTTCTCCAGCTCGTTTTACAGATGCGGAAAATGAGGCAAACTGGGTTAAGTGACTTGCCCAGGGTCTCACAGCTGGCCAGTGTCTGAGGCCAGATTTGAACTCAGGAAAGTGAGTCTTCCTAACTCCAGGCCTGACCCGCTAACCGCTACACCACCTACCTGCCCTGTCTATGTTAGCATACCATGCTCTCTACACACACTTTTCCCTAACTGGTGAGCAACTACTTTGTTTCTATTTCTTGACTCTCACAAAGAGTGTTGCTATGAAGCAGAACCAAAAAAGGGGTATAAACAAGGATTATAGTAATGTAAATTAAAGTATTATTAAAAGGCAATTGAACTTTGAGTAATGGGGAAAAAATGGAAAGTCCCAGAGAAAAGATAATGAAACATGCCTCTTTCTCCACTACAGAGAGGTGGGGACTACAATAACAGAATATTGTGTATGTTGTTGGGCAGTGTCTAGCGGATGTTTGGCTTAATCATTTTTGTCACAAGGGATGTTTTAATCTGGAGAGGCACTGGGAAATAATTGCAATATAATGACAAAAGGCATCAATTAAACTTTTTTGAAAAGTCATGAGGCTTCTCAGTAATCTACAAAGCTTTAGCCCCTTTCATTTCTTAATACTAAACCAATTTTCCACCAACTTCCATTATGCCCACATTTGTACTGAATTCACTGATTATCTGCTATCATGAAGACTATGGTCTGAAGAAAGAGTTTGAAAGATCTTGCCATATTCTTAACAGAATGCCTCTATCATTCTAATCAATACAATGATCAACCATGACTGATGATATAAGCATGTACCCACCTCCTAACAGAAAACTGAATGGGCTCGAGGTGCAGAATGAGATAGTCATTTTTAGACATGGCAAGAAAGTGGATTTGTTTTGCTTGACTATGCTTATTACTTACAAGAACAGTGTTTTACTTTTTTCTGGGGAAGGATTTAGGGTGTGTGAGATGAATCCATGATAGGAATGAGAGGAAGACAAGGAGGAAAAGAAGAAGAAGAAGAATATTCTTGAAGCATTTTTTTGCTTGTGTTTTTGTTTTTTGGAAGCAATTGGAGTTAAGTTACTTGCCCAGAGTTACCCAGCTAGTAAGTGTCTGAAACCAAATTTGAACTCAGGTCCTCTTGCCTCCTGGACTGCGCTCTATCTACTGCTCCACCTAGCTTCCCCAAAGCAATTTTTAATGTATAGAAAGAAGATACAGGGATAGAGGGGGAAATTTAGGTAATATAAAAACAAAAGATATCAATAAAAATTCTAAATGATAAAATGCATAGAACGGAACAGACCAAAGTTCAGAAGGAAACAGACAAGCACAACAGCTTCAAAAGTACTGTGTTGAATTCATTATATATTTTTTTTAAAAAGCAAATTGCATATATTAGAAAACCAAAGTTTCACATGAAATCTTCCTTTTCCATTTCAATGTCTATTTGGAAATGTTCTATTTTGTGTTCATGAAATCTAGAATAAAAAAAAAAATAAATCATTTCTCTACCTTTACCACAGAAGGTACACTATTTGCAATTATCTTCTTGTTTGCTTATTCTCATCCTGAGCACTACAAGTATCTCATGAAATTTTGCGTGAAATGATTGTTGTTTGCATTTGATTCTGAGAACATACAAATTGAAAGGCTGATGCTATGGCTACCCATTGTCTAACCTCCTGGTTATGAGAGAACATCACGACGTTTCTCTGATACTGGGAAATGGTGGAGTGGTCAGATTGGAAACCATTCTGTATGCATTGTGAGCAATAAATTAGTTAACACAAGTGTAGGGTTTGTGAGTCAGTGTGTTGTCTGTCAGGAGGTGTGCTCAGGTGCAGCTCCCTAGACAATTTGAGGGTGCATTTCAAGCCTTTGGGTGGAGCTCCCTGGGGGTATGGAAATGTGGAGAGAGTGAATGGCTGGGCAAGGTAGAAGCAGGCATGCTCTGCTGGTGCCTGGAGCCAGAGACTGAATGTGCTCTGGGTCCCAGTGCCAATGGCCATAGGATGACTACAGCATTTTTAGCACGGAGGATGACAATGCCCTGGCAGATATAACTGATTGGCATGATTCTGAGCAATAGTCTCCACGAGGGAAAAGAGGTTGCTCAGGGTGGCATGGGTGGTTTCAGAGCCAGAGTGGAGAGAGCATCTGAACGTGGCCAAATTCTAGGGCATCTTGTTGCTTTTGAACGTACATTCAAATCAACTTCCTTCAGCTTTCTGAGCAGAACGTTGGAGCTCATCTTTGCATTTAATTAGGCCTCCTTGAACACCCCATATACCCCACTATCACTAGTGAAGCTATTGAGAATGGTGAAAGGTAGCAACCAGTGTTAAAATAAAGCTAAAAGATTGAAAGGGAGTGTGGATTATTCAATTTAATAAAATGACCAAAAGGTTACCCAGCAAGTAAAGGATGTTTTATGTTGCAGCAACTCATAAAGATGATCTTCTAGGATGTGGAAGGGTTATAATCAATCAACAAGTACTTATTAAACATCTATTATGTGCCAGGCAGAGTGTTGGGCTCAAGAGACAGGCAAAAGAGAAATATTCCCTGCCCTCAAGGAGCTTATATTCTATCCAGGAAGAAAACGTGTACATATATAAGTATGCGCAGAAAAATGCAAATTAAATTTAAGATGGTTGTGAGAAGGGGACACTAGCAGTTAAGGAAAGTTTGCTTCAATGGAGGAACAACCCACTGAAATCACATATCCTTGAAAAAGCAAAATAATCCAACAAACATTCATTAAGTATATCTATAGTGCTATGTGCGAGACATTGTCCTATATACCAAAGATGCAAAGATGAAACCAAAGAGTCTTAGAAACATAGGATTTAGAGCTGGAAAGGATTTTTATTGATTATCTGTGAGATAGTGGTGGAAAGAGCAATGGCTTTGGAATCAGAGGGCTTGGGTTCAAATCCTGGTTCTACTACTTACTATCTATATGGCCTTGGGCACATTACTCCACCGCTCTGGGTCTCCATTTCCTTTTCTGTGAAATAAAGAGGTTGCAGAAATGAGCAAGGATTCACAATTAACCCAGATATAACTGATACAATTCTCCTTCCTCTCTTGTAAACACCATCCCACAAGGACCTACACAATCTTCCATACTTATAGCACCACCCTGTGGACTCCCCTTGGAAGGGAAACAGACTTGGAGTTGCTAAAGAGGCAATCCCATAACATTCTTGTCCCTTTTTTTACCCCAGGAACCCATAAAGGTCTCCAGCTGTATGATATTGCCCTAAAGAAACAAACAGAGTTGCTAAAGAGGTCAACTTCCATTCCCATTGTATGTTGCACTATTCAGTCATCGAATAAACATTTATTAAGTACCTACTATGTTCCAGACACTGTGCTAAGCAGTGGGGTTTTACACTGTTCAGATTACTCAAAATAGTAGCAAGACACAAAATCTATATTTCTTTGCTTCTCCACATTTTGACTTAATCCCTTGAAGCTTTTCCAGCTCTGAGGCCATGTGCCTAGTCTCTTTTTCCCAAGAGAATGTCACAACCAAACCACTTCCCCTTCTCTTTTTAGAAAATTAGGTCTCTGAACTCTCTATGAACTCACCAGTGTCCAGTTCTGTGCTGGAGGCTGGGTCCTCGATCTTTGACCACTTGGCTTCCCTTTCTTGGGCCCATGAGTTTGTATACACGTGCTCCACCACTGCACTCTCTTGGCCTGAGAGGCTCTGCTGCTGCCATCTCTATGACTAAGGATTAGAGGATGGTGAATTGGTTAGGAGGCAATGACTATCTTTAGCTTCTCATTCTCTGATCTGCTCAGGTCTTTCTGGATTTCTCCAAAAAATAGCAACAATACCAACCTCAACAAAAGGACCCTCAAAAGGGATGGTCCCCATCTACAGCAGATTACCCAGCCACTCTTCTCACAACAGCCTGTAAAATCAGGAAGTTGAACAGGATCAACGCCCTACATAAGTACAAGAATACTCTCTTAAATAATGTCATTGTCAGCCTGGCATGGTAGCACATCCCTGAAATCCCAGCTACTGGGGAGGCTGAAGCCAAGGCTGGTAGACTTCTTAAGGTAGCTAGTATTGAGCTATAATGGGCTAGGTATCTGTACTCAGTTGAGTGTCAATATGGTTAGTCCCCTTGGAACAGGAGGGCCAACAGGTTGCCTAAGGAGGGGCAAGCCAAGACAAGTTGGAAACTGCAGGTCAAAGTTCCCAGGTAGACCAGTCATGGGATTGGACCCTTGTACTTCCAGCCTGGGTGTGAGTGAAACCCAGTATTTAAAAATCAATAAATATATTGTTCATTTTTGTGGTGGCAAAGAATTGGAAATTGAGAGGATGCTTGGGGAATGGCTGAACAAGTAGTGGTATATGAATGTAATGGAATACTATTGTGCTATAAGAAATGATGAACAGGCTGACTTCAGAAAAACCTGGAAAGACTTGTATGGTCTGATGCTGAGTGAAGTGAGCAGAACCAAGAGAACGTTGTACACAATAACAGCCACGTTGTGCGATGACTAATATTGATAGACTTAACCCTTCCCAGCAATACAAGGATCTAAGACATCTCCAAAGGCCTCATGATGGAAAATGCTATCCACATCCAAAGAAAGAACTATGGAGTTTGAATGCAGATCGAAGCATACTATTTGCTATTTTTTTTCTTCTGTTGATTTTTGTTTCCTCTTTCTGGTGGTTCCTCCTATTGGTTCTAATTCTTACTTACAACATCACTAATGTGAAAATATGTTTAATAAGAATGTATATGTATAGTCTCTATCAGATTGTACACCATCTTGGGGAGGGTGGTAGGGACAGAGAGGGAGAAAATTTTAAACTCAAAAATTTATGGAACTGATTGTTGATAAATTAAAATAAATTAATTTAAAAAAAACAAAAATAAAATATATTTGAAGAATAACTGTAAATGACTAAGTTATTCTGAGTATTATAAATACTCACACCAGTTACAAAGGACCTATGAAGGAAGATGCTACCCACCTCCAGAGAAAGAACTAATAAATAGAATTACATATATTATATGTGTGTTACATATAACCTATATGTGTATTGCATATATGTGTTACATATATAATGTGTGTGAGATGGTGGCCTTTATGCACACACACACAACATACACATGTGTATATATCTGTGTCAACTGGTGGCCTTTACACACATACCATACCACACACATAGACAAATATGTATGTATCTGTGTCAAGAGTGGCCTTTACGTAGACACACACAGATATATAGATATAGATATATAGACACATATACCTATAGCTATCTCTCTCTACATATACATATGTTTATCTGTGTCAAATGGTGACCTTTTCTATTGCAGGGTGGGGAGGGAGGGAGGGAGAAAGTTTAGAACTTAAAATGTAACCCAAAAAAGTAAAATTAAATTTAAAAAATCAATAAATAGATAATATTGTTGTCTCCTGAAAGTTGTACATTTCCTATTATGAGCTGCAGTCACCCAAGGGGAACCTGGAACAGGAAATCATTTTCTTAAGAGAAAAGTACCCTTTGGCTTTTGAGTGCTACATCAGTGCTCTTTACCTAGCACAAGGCCTTGTGCATAGTAGGAACTTAATACACATTTGCAAAATTGAACTTTATTCCAGCTTTTCCAGGTCTGTTTCACACATGGGGATAGGGTGGTACCTTATGGGAATTTCTAGCCGTTTTTATCAAAGGTCAGGAGATGGAGCAGGTGTAAAGAAATGCTTTTAAATCACAGCCCAGACACTTGAAACTACTGAATATTTTTGTAGCCTACAAGTTGGGCCACTCAGGCTGGATTCCAGGATCTGTGGCTAAGTCACCATGCAACTTAGGGCAGTTCACATCACATCTCTGGCCTTAGCTTTCTTCCTTTATGAAATAGGAGGGTTGGACTAGATCAGTGGTTCTTAACCTGGGATTTATAGCCCCTTGTCTGAGGATAGATTTCTGAGGGGAGGAGGAGGGGAACAAGCATTTGTTAAGCACCTACTATGTGCCAGGCATTGTACTAAATGTTTTACAGATGCCATATCATCCTTCACAACAACCTGGGAGGTAGGTGCTATTATTACAGTTAAGGAAACTGAGGAAAATAGAAGTTAAATGACTTACCCAAAGCCACACATATAGTTGCAGGTGTTTGAGGCCAGATTTGAATTCTGGTTTTCCTGAGCAGCTATGTGGTACAATGTGATAGAGTGCTGAGCCTGGAGTCAGGAAGATTCATCTTTTTGAGTTCAAATCCAGCCTTAGACACTAACTAGCTGTGTGACCCTGGGCAAGTCACTCAGCCCTATTTGCCTCAGTTTCCTCATCTGTAAAGTGAGTTGGAGAAGGAAATGGTAGACCACTCTAGTAGTTCTACCAAGAAAACCCCAAATGGGTTACAAAAAGTCTGAAATGACCAAACAACAGCAAATTTCCTGATCCTAGGTTCAGGATTTTATCCACTGTGCTATCTAGTTGCCATGGGGATGCATGAACTTGGATTAAAAAAAAAAATCACAGCTTTATTTTCACTAAGAATTATCCTAAGAAGAGGTCCCTGGGCTTTACCGTCCTGTCGAAGGGGTCCATGATTAAGGACCCCTGAATTCAAAGGACCCCTAAAGTCCTTTCCTATTCTGACATTCTATGCTCAGGGCTACAGGCAACTCCCTAAGATTCTTTAGTTGAAGAAAAGGTGCCCACTTGCCCTGATAAGGAGAGTTCCCTCACCTCAGAGTTTTCTATATCAATGAAATCACAAATCCATTCCTTGCCCAGGGGCAGCGAGGTGGTACAGTGGAGAGCATGCTGGGCTTGGAGTCAGGAAGATTAGAGTTCTAATCTGGCCTCAAACACTTGCTACTAGTTGTGTGACCCTGGCAAACTATTTAACCTCTGTCTATCTCAGTTTCCTTAATTGTAAAAATGCGAATAACAGCACCTACCTCCCAGGGTTGTCTGAGGATCAAATGAGATATTTGTAAAGCATTTAGCACAGTACTTGGCACATAGTAGGCACTTAAACGCTTGTTTCCATCCTTCTCTCCTAACCCCTTTTGACTTCAGGTTCTGCTACTCTACACACTATTCCATTTTTGTTGTTGTCATCATTGTTGTTCAGTTGTGTCCGACTCTTCATGACCCCATTTGGGGTTTTCTTGGCAACCAATGAATTGATAGGTGACTGGAGGAACAGAATTATATTCACGGGGACATTTTCAATAGAAATGTGTAAGAGGGATAGCAAACTTTGCCACAATGGCAGAAATGCAGGATAAAGGCTGCCAGATCTGTCCCTCTCCCTGCTGACATTAATTAACAACATTTTTTAGAGAAGTTTAACTATCGTAAGATAGTTGCCACAAATGATAGGACAAAAAGGACCCCAAACCGCATTAGCTATCAAACCTTTAATCTCCTTGCCAAGTTGAGAAACATGGTAACCAAAAGTAGCACTAGAGTACAACCATCATGGAAAAGGATGACAATGTGAAAAAAATGCTCTAAATCACTATTGATTAGAGAAATGCAAATCAAAATAACTCTGAGGTACCACATCACACCTATCAGATTGGCCAACATGACAAAACAGGAAAATGATAAATGTTGGAGAAGGTGTGGGAAAATTGGAACACTAATGCATTGTTGGTGGAGTTGTGAAATGATCCAACCATTTTGGAGAACAATTTGGAACTATGCCCAAAGGGCTATAAAAATGTACATACCCTTTGACCCAGCAATAGCACTTCGAGGGCTATCTCCCAAAGAGATCATACAAATGGGAAGAGGACCCACATGTGCAAAAATATTTATAGCAGCTCTTTTTGTCGTGGCAAAGAATTGGAAATTGAGAGGATGTCCATCAATTGGGAATGGCTGAACAAGTTGTGGTATATGAATGTAATGGAATACTATTGTGCTATAAGAAATGATGAATAGGCAGACTTCAGAAAAACCTGGAAAGACTTGTATGGTCTGAAGCTGAGTGAAGTGAGCAGAACCAGGAGAACGTTGTACACAATAACAACCATGTTGTGCAATGACTAATATTGATAGACTTAACCTTTCTCAGCAATACAAGGATCTAAGACGCCTCCAAAGGCCTCATGATGGAAAATGCTATCCACATCCAAAAAAAGAACTATGGAGTTTGAATGCAGATCGAAGCATACTATTTGCTACTTTTTTTCTTCTGTTGTGTTTTGTTTCCTCTTTCTAGTGGTTCCTCCTATTTCTGATTCTTACTTGCAACATCACTAATGTGAAAATATATTTAATAGGAATGTCTATGTATAGCCTATATCAGATTGCATGCTGTCTTGGGGAGGTAGAGAGGGAGGAGGAGAAAAATTTAAAACTCAAAAGCTTATGGAACTAATTGTTGATAAATCAAAATAAATTAATTTTAAAAAATAAAAGGATGACAGAAATTTATAAGCAAAATTGGCAGACAATACATTGAAAAGCAGGAAGAAGAATCAAAGAAATATAAATTAAAACCACTCTGAAGGGCAGCTAGGTGTCATGGTGAATAGAGCACCAGTCCTGGAGTCAGGAGGACCTGAGCTCAATGATTCTCAATAGATAAGTGACCTTGGGCAAGTCACTTAACCCCAATTACCTCACCAAAAAACAAACAAACAAAAAAAACACTCTGAGCTTCCACCTCCCACCCAATAGATTAGCAAAGATGATGAAAAAGGAAAAGTGATAGTCATTGGAGGAGCTGGGGACAAACAGGCACAACATTGTGCTGTTGGTGCAGTTGAGAAATGGTCCAGCCAGAGTCAGTCTTTATGTCTTAGGAATGAGACCCTTATCAGAGAAAGTTACTGGTTTGGTTTTGTTTTTTCCCCAGTTACCTTTTTCCCTTCAAATTTTAGTTACATTGGTTTTGCTTGTGGAAAACTTT